TCCTTGCCTTTCAGACTAATGCACAACCAGCCACATTCAGAGAAGCCCCATCGATTCCTTGCCTAGTTCCTCCCCTCCTGGAAGCCCTGAAGTGGTCTCTCCCGGATATGTCTACACCGATTTCTACGGGGCGAGACCATTCTGAACAGGCCCGCGGGGGTGTGGAACCGGAAAAGAGGCGCCGGGCTAATCCTAGCAGCCTCTAGGGGGGGTGATACCAACCAACCGGTGAAGAAAGGGGGAGATACGCGGCGAATATGAAATCAGTCGGTGGCGAGTGGTCTCGTCCGTAGAAGCTCCGCGAGCAAAACTGGGTCCCTTCGGGCGAATCCAATTAAAGCGGAGGGAGAGGGGGATGCGGATGGGAACTACCATTGCAGTCCGAAGGCTATCGAGTTGAAACCTCCCGGCGGGACGGAGCGTCCTCATTCTTAAAGGAACTACTTTATTCCTTTTTGTATTGAATTGAATTAAACCCCCCCTTTTTATCACGCTCTTAAAGGGAAGATGGTGTAAAAGCTGGGCTATTGGATTGCGCTAAGCTTGGTTTGTTCAATAAATCATAATTATCTTGGTGTTTCACAAACCAGCATGGCTGAGAATCCATGCAGAGGCAAAGCAATTACATACAGTTTAGTGTCATGTAAACTAGTGTTTCTCAACCACCTCAGTAACTTTAAGATGGGTGCACTTCACGTCCCAGAATTCTCCAGCCACATGGGTGGACTTCAACTCCCAGAATTCCCCAGCCAAATGGGTGGACTTCATACTCCAGAATTCCCCAGCCACATGGGTGGACTTCAACTCCTAGAATTCCCCAGCCAGCATGGGTGGACTTCAGATTCCAGAATTCCCCAGCCACATGGGTGGACTTCAACTCCTAGAATTCCCCAGCCAGCACGGGTGGACTTCATACTCCAGAATTCCCCAGCCACATGGGTGGACTTCAACTCCTAGAATTCCCCAGCCAGCATGGGTGGACTTCAGATTCCAGAATTCCCCAGCCAGCACGGGTGGATTTCATACCCCAGAATTCTCCAGCCACATGGGTGGACTTCAAGTAAAATTCCCCAGCCAGCATGGGTGGACTTCAGATTCCAGAATTCTCCACCACATAGATGGACTTCAACTCCTGGAATTCTACCAGCTTATGAATGGACTTCAACTCCCAGAATTCCCCTGCCAGCATGGATAGATTTCAACTCCCAGAATTCCCCAGCTAGCATGGGTGGACTTCATATCCCAGAATTCTCCAGCCACATAGATGGACTTCAACTCCTGGAATTCTACCAGCTTATGAATGGACTTCAACTCCCAGAATTCCCACAACTGCATGGATAAACTTCAACGCCCAGAATTCCCCGGCCAGCGTGGGTAAGATTTCAACTCCCAGAATTGTGGAGTCCTTGGTGTTCTCTGATCTCAGTTATTTGCTTGCAGATATTTTGTTACCTGACTAAGTAGCATCTTCAGCTCAAGAAACACCGGTTTAGAATTAAGATAAGAAAGGCTGAATTCAGAGAATTCAAATTAGAAAGCCTGAAGCTGATGGGAATGGCTGGGTGGAGATTGTCCAATTCTTGGGCACATTCCGTTCCATTTCTATACTTGCATAATTTTGCAGCATTCAGAAGACAAATCAAGTGGCTTTTAAGTGCAGTTGCCAAGAGGCTTGTTCAGAAGCAGGATTTGCAAGCCAAAAAAAATCACTGCAAGATCCTTAGCCTGCTGAGCCCTTTGCCAAATAGGATCTGGTCTAGAATGGACGATTAAAATCTCTTTATTGATATATAAGCAAGAAGAGAGGTCTCTCACCATTACAATGCGAGGAGACCCTTAGGGAAAAAAACCAGAGAAATGACTTTATGTACAGTTCAAACATATTGGCTTTGGGTCGTTGTGTTACACCAATAATAATAATAATAATAATAATAATAATAATAATAATAATAATAATAATAATAATAATAATAATAATAAAGTTGGAAGGGACCTTGGAGGTCATCTGGTCCAACCCCCTGCTCAGGCAGGAAACCCTATACCATTTCAGACAAATGGCCGTCCAGTCTCTTCTTAAAAACTTCCAGCGTTGGAGCATTCACCGCTTCTGGAGGCAGGTTGTTCCACTGGTTAATTGTTCTCACTGTCAGGAAGTTTCTCCTTAGTTCTAGGTTGCTTCTCTCCTTGATTAGTTTCTATCCGTTGCTTCTTGTCCTGCCTTTGGGCGCTTTGGAGAATAGCTTGACTGCCTCTTCTTTGGGGCAGCCCCTGAGATATTGGAACACTGCTATCCTGTCCCCCCTCGTTCTTCTCTTAATTAAACTAGACATCCCCAATTCCAGCAGCCGTTCCTTGTATGTTTTAGCCTCCAGTCTCCTAATCATCTTTATTGCTCTTCTCTGTACTCTTTCTAGAGTCTCAGCATCTTTTTTTACATCGTGGTGACCAAAACTGGATGCCGTATTCCAAGTGTGGCCTTACCAAGGCCTTGTAAAGTGGTATTAATATTTCACGTGATCTTGATTCCATCCCTCTGTTAATGCAGCCTAGCACTGTGGGACGGCCCATTTGAATGCTTTTCAATGTATTGTTAATTATTATTTAGCACATAGCAAAAGCGACAATGAAGCCATGGTGCCTTGCATCCAGTGGTGGGATTCAGCTGACCGGATTGGCAGAACCGGTAGCTATTTTTTTTGTTGCCCAGGCCCAGAATGGAGTTCCGGAAGTGGCATCTACACAGAGAACCGGTTGTTCACGTATTTGAATCCTGCCACTGCTTGGGTCTATTGGTATGGAGTTAAACTGCTGCTGAGCAGCTTTGACAGCAACTTGAACAAGATGAACTAAGATGATCCAAGGCCTGGAGACCAAAGCATACGAAGAACGGCTGCGGGACTTGGGCTTGGCTAGTCTAAAGAAAAGAAGGAATAGGGGAGACATGATAGCAGTGTTCCAGTGTCTGAGGGGCTGCCACAAGGAAGAGGGGGTCAGGTTGTTTGCCAGAGCACCAGAGGGAAGGATGAGAAACAATGGTTGGAAACTAATCAAGGAGAGAAGCAACCTGGAATGAAGGAGAAACTTCCTAATAGTGAGGACAATTAACCTGTGGAACAGCTTGCCACCAGAAATTATGGCTGCTCCATCACTGGAGGTTTTTAAGAAGAGACTGGACAGTCACTTGTCTGAGATTGTATAGGTTCTCCTGCTTGAGCGGGGGGCTGGACTAGAAGACCTCCAAGGTCCCTTCCATCCTCCTCCTCCTCCTCCTCCTCATCATCATCATCATCATCATCATTATCTCAAAGGTCCCTTCCAACTCTGTTATTCTGTTATTCAGCTGGTTCTAATCAGAATTTCACATTCTTGCTTGTTACTTCAAAGGGACTAGAAACATTAATCAAAGGCGCTCCCATCAGCTTCACCGACTCTGAGGTTAGATAAATACATATAATGTTGTCCTGCGCCCTTGTTTTCTCTGGCTGAAAGGAGAGTAGCAAATTCCTGGTATGAATGCCAGCACTCTCGACCTGTTGAAATATTTGGCACGGAAATAATAATTTTCAAATATTTACTTGCTGACCATCAGCTGTCCCAGTTAACCAAACATCGGTCGGAAAACAACCAGAACTTTATTTAGCGTCGTAAACCGAAAAAAATCGATCGGTTTGGGGATCTGATCAGCATGAAGGCTAAGCAAAGGACAGTAATACACACGTTTGAGCTAAGAAATACAGATACCAAGTTATATCACGAAATCCATACAGTAGTGGCCAAAATTGTGGAAACCTTTTGGGAAAAGTGTATATTTGAGGTTTGATGGCTAATAACACCACTTTTTGGGGGGGGGAGTAGTACCCTAAAATTATATATCAATGGAAAGATAATTTAATCAAGAATGTACTGCAGCAAAGTGTGTTCAATTATCTGTATTCTATGAAACGTTAAAGCCAAATAACCAGAAAAAGGAAGCACAATTTGATTAGGTTGATCTCAGGTAGCTTTCCTTCATTCGGTTGTAGCCAATGAGTATGAGTGTTTAGAGAGCCAGTCAGGTGTCATCTTGTTTTGGCAATGAGCCAATCAGATCACAGAAG